ATTGTTGGAGAGCGACCGTGGTCGGTTTGTCGTCGGTGGGCTTTGCTTCCTTCTAACCCCAAGAATATTCCCACCCGGAAGAGCCTCCCACACGCCCGGGTTGGGAATCCTTCTCTTCCTCTCCGTGAGCTCCCCCAGCCGTCTGTGGCCGCTGCTTCTCGGATCTGAAGGGCAGTACGATACAAGATTATCGTCTTCCTTTTCCGGGAGATAAGTTTGGATGACTAGATCCCCCGTTTTTGTGCTGACGTATGATAAAGTAAGTGACGTGAGATTTGGCTGATGAGCCCTCATCTGCGGTATGTGCTTCAACGTCCGCGGTTGCATGACCTCGGTCGAAAAGGTGCGAAGGATGGTGGACGACTCGAGATCCACGAGGTCGACTGATCGAGACCGCCCGATCAAATACGCAGACAAGGCCGGGATGGGAAGGACGCAGTGGACGTCCCTGGCTTCTCGCTCGCCAAAGTTGACTTCGGTCGAGACCCATTCGTTCCCCTGCTGCCTAACCAGGTGAACGCAGCTCTTGCGAGAGGCTGTGAGGATGGCTATTGGTGGGTGGTGGTTATTGTTGAATGAGTGAGCTGTGTTGGTCAGCAAAAAAAAAAAAAAAACCAGGGTTCACGAGAGGTGTTGGTAAAACTCACATTTATCTGGAAACTGTACCGCCCAGACGAGTGGTGTTTTGCAGATGGTGAAATCTCTCGACTCGTCGACTTCCAGTTCCATCTCCAGTCCCATTCCGTTCCTCCTCACCAGCACCAACGTCGGCGTTGTACCCGCCCCTTTGTGGCAGAAAAACAACGCTTCTGGCTTATGTCCGCCCAAGTCAATGTCTCTCGTCCCGGCCCACTGCTGTTCCTCCAGATTCCACAAAAACACCCTTTGCCACGACACCAAAGCCAACCATTTGGACCCATAGTCGATGGCCATGCTCAGCACCGGGAAAGGATTCTCCAAAGGGCATTCGTGATCCGAGGCGACCCTGTGCCCGGACCCTATTGGCACGTCCCAAACCTGAATAGCGCGATCAAGACCAACCGACACCAGCGAACCACCCGGTGACGCAGCCATCATGACAACATCCAGCTTGTGGCCCTTGGTCAAAGATTTGACAGAAATCAACGGCTCATCGTCCGGATGCTCCGACCCCAAATTTTCATACTCGTCCCGGAGAAGATACTTTGTACCCAACAGTATAGCCGCAAACACTAGCATTAATAACACGACGAAATTGGGCACTTCGTGATGCAAAAAGTCGTACACGGCAGGTAGAAACATGGGCTCTCGGGTGCGAGGGACGCGGTCGGAGCCCTTCAAGACGAAAATGATGGGATCGTACACGCGAGCCACGTAGCTGTGAGCCCATGGCTTGACGACGTTGATAACTTCCCGAGCCGTCTCGTGGTCTTGAAGGCGGAGCCATGAGGTCGGGCTTCTGGCCTGGTGAATATCAATCAGCAACGGCGGCTTCGGAGCGCTTCTAACGGTCCTGTTCCATGGCAAGCTGAAGAGTTGGCTCAGCCACTGCCGGTTGCCTTCTGTCGCATAGTGAGACTGTGCCGTGAGCACAAAGCAGATGACGACAATGGTTCCGGCAATCCTCGTCGACACTGCGGTTTCGCCAACACGGAGTTGGCTGACCAGTTCCATCCAGGCTGACTTGTTTTTGTCTTTTTCGGAAGACTTGGTGCGCGACAAGAAGGCCTTCTCCAACTCGAGCAGTTCCCTTTGCCTGACATCGACGCTGAGGACAGACAGCAAAAATGTTGACAGGTAGATGAAGTCAAACACGGTCGCAATCGCAACAAAGGTGCAAAAGGCGGCAACACCCGGGTTCGAATACCGTGATAAACCCAACAATATCAGCAGGTTTTGCACTCGGTTGGCGATGGCGATGTGTGCTGTCTCTCCGAAGGCCTCCCCTATCCTGTCACTGTTGCTGATGGTGGAGGACGTCATAATGACGGCGTTGATCAGCCGCAACGAGTTCTCCAGACTGATGGCAAGAACCACCAGCGGGTAGGCGTACGAAGGCACCCGAGAAAGATCAATCTTGAATATGGCGCAAACCGTGAAGCTCGACACGATGGACGCGGTGATCTGAACGAGTATCGAGACCATGAGCCCTAGCTTGGATTTGAGGGCGCGAAGCTTCCTGAGATGAAGCAACAGGTAGAACAGCGAGATGGAATAGGCCACCGTCAAAAGTCCCACATCAGGCCACGACAAGGGTCGAAACTGAAACTCATACAGCTGATCCGAAAGGCTCCTGCCGTCCGAAGGGATGATTTTCCACGTATCGCTGCGCTCATTTGCCAGCTCCTCAGCTCTTCTCACCCATCGTCGGCCAACCGGCGAGTCCCGGAGGTGAATCAGAGTGATGACCAGGGCATCGGCAGCGACGAGACGGCGCTCTTCGAACCGCTTGCCGCTGAACACAATCGAGTGTCGCAGGGTGACATTGACAGACGTCGACTGAGTTTTCCTGGCATTGACCGTCTCGAGAATGTCCTGGTCGTTTTGGATATTACCTGCTGAGCCGGCCCAATACTGGAGTGGCGAGTGAAAGAACCACGACTGGTTGGTGAGGCCGTTGATGATATGATAGGCATCTCGCTGGCCGGGAGTCAGGTCACCATCGGCGACTTCGGGCTCGGATATCTCGGGCCTGTTTGCTGGTTGGCGGGGGTTGAAATTGGTGGTCGGTCCCAAAAGCTCATCCTGAAGTTCGAGTGCGCCCAGTAAGACATCTTTCTCGAGAGCCTTCATATAGCTCCCGTGGACCCAAATTGAGCGCATTATCACATCAGGCTCAACGTCCAACTCAAGAGGCTGAGCGTCAGTCCACACATGGTGTGGGAGGTTGGACACGCCGCTGGTAATGTTGGTGACATCGGTGGTGTAGAGGAAGGGGAAAATATACAAAAACATGAAAATCAAGGCCGTCGAAGACGGCAGGACAATTTTGACATGGCTTGCAGCCCATTTTGCATAAAGTTGGAAGGCGACCCGCAGTGGATGTTCTGGTGCGAGCTTAGGGGCATCCGTCGTCCTACGGCTTGTCAACATACTGCCCGAACGTCTCAGCAATAACATGTAAAGAAACCAGCACATACCCTCGGAAGGGGTAGAGAAAATACCACAGCATAGTCGCAGATCGTTAGGGGGTGGGGGGTGGCGGCCAGTGATGAAGATGGAACCCGTCTGCGGTCCTCCCAGTCCCTGCCAGCAGGAGACCCTGGATCCTTGGGAGTGCGGGAGTTGAAGTGAGCCGGCCCGTGAGAGTAGGGGAGTTGAAGGCTATGGGCGACCGGTCATTATTGATTGAGACTCTGGGAACAGGAAGTGACGTGCCGAGGGTGAGGTAAGCTGTGTTGTGTTGTTGGCCCGTTCCCCTTCCACTCACTACCAGGCACGAATGAGCGGGCCGAGGGCTCTTGATCGGTTACAGTACGCAATAGCAATGCACAACGGTGGATTGAACGCTGCGGGACAACGGACATGTAGCTTTCTGACCGGGCCGAGAGGTTAGTGATGAGCGTTTGCTAGTGAGGGGGGGAGCCGTAGATCTGCAAGCTCTGCAAGCTTCCTGTGACGAACTGGAGCTGGAGCTGGAGCTGGAGCTGGTGGTGTCGTGGTGTTTCTTTAAGTAGGTGATCCGTGCTCCTCAGCGGATGCAGCTCCGGCAGGCAATCTTTGCCTCGAGCGCGGCGAGTGGTTGAGATCGGGGCACTTGAGAGCAGTTGTTGAATGAAATGAATGGACCCGGGATGGAATGAGGTGTTCTGATGTGCTCTTCTGTGTGTGTTGCTTCTGCTGAGGTGTGGGGGCGGCTCGTTGCTGGGATGAGTGAGTGGATGTTCTGTTCTGCGGTGATGGGCTCCCGACCCCGTGCGATGGGGAATTCCAAGAATTCGATTTTGAGGCACACCGGTCTCTCAGCTGCTTGGCGTCCTCCCTGGCTCCAATTAATAAAGATATCCCCATCAAGTACACACTGTGTTCGGCACTGGACGGGAAGCTACACTAAGTACCTTTCAGGGAACGTGATACCGTATCCTTAGATAGCCCTTAGATAGGACCCCTAATAATTATCGCCCGCAAAAAGATACCAAGCTTTCAATAGAGGGAGGGTGAGAGATGTCTCTCTTCTGAGAAAAAAGGCTTGGAAGACGTAATGCCGATGCTACATCGGGAAAGGGCCGAAGGGTCCCCACAGCGCCCGATACCCGTCCTTGATTTTCACCGTCGACCGACAGCTTCTGTGGGTCGAAATCGTCGATTCGGTCCCAAAAAAGCGAAAGCTGAAGACACTTTTGGGAGGTTGGAGTTGACCATTATCCCGCTAACGATTGGCCTGTGGGTTTTACCTCTTTTGCGTCCCCATCGCCGCCGCCGGCAGGTTTTTGAAGACGTTTTTCGTTGGAGAGGCGTGACAGGTAATTATTGATGCAAGGGCAATTGTATCAAGTAGAATAATTCCAAAAATAAAATAAAAATAAAATAAAAATAAAATAAAAATAAAATAAAAATAAAATAAAATAAAATAAAAATAAAATAAAAATAAAATAAAAATAAAATAAAAATAAAATAAAAATAAAATAAAAATAAAATAAAAATAAAATAAAAATAAAATAAAAATAAAATAAAAATAAAAATAAAATAAAAATAAAATAAAAATAAAATAAAAAGACATCAAAGTGCTCGTGTGTCTGTCTGTGTCTGTAACTTTGTGTCCCTTCCCTCCGTGCTTGCAACTTCACCGCTGCACTGTGCTGCCCGCAAACCAACCATTTTTCAAGGTTACTTTATACATGTGAGATCCAATTAGGCCTCACTGGCGTCATGTCACATATTCACTCACCACTCATAATTACCCTCGTTAGCTTAAACATCCCTAACTGCCACTTACAAGATGGATGGTGGCCTTATCGAGGATGAATCTCACAACCCAGACCCCATAGCAGAACTCATCGAAAACTACAATGAGCTCAACAGCTCCGTCATCGAAGAGCTCACCGAGGAGCCAAGTCCCCTCGAGTTTATGAGATATGTCGCCAAAAACACCCCCTTCGTCGTACGAGGCGCCGCCAAGGACTGGAAAGCCACCAAAGAGTGGAATGTCAATTTTTTGAAAGACTTTCTCAAACACGAGACGGTGAATGTAGCCGTGACGCCTCACGGGTATGCTCACCTTGCTGCTTCGCATAAATCTCATACTAACCTCCCTCAAGCAACGCAGACGCCCCAACACCACACCCCACCCCATCCTCCCCCCTCGTCTTCGCCCAACCCCACGAAGAAGACCAGCCCTTCCCCGTCTTCCTCGACTACCTCACCACCCAGTCCTCCCTCCCAGCCGGCGGTGAGCCCATCGGCGAAGTGAGATACGCCCAGACCCAAAACGACAACCTCCGGCATGAATACCTCCGCCTATTCTCCCACTGCCTCCCCTCCATCCCCTTCGCCCGGATAGCCCTCGACCGGGACGCCGACGCGATCAACCTCTGGATAGGAAACCAGCACTCCACCACCGCCCTCCACAAAGACAACTACGAAAACATCTACGTCCAGATCCGCGGCCGGAAACATTTCGTCCTCCTCCCGCCCATCTGCCACCCCTGCGTGAATGAGCGGTTGCTTCCCTCGGCAGTCTACTCACGCAAGACCACTTCCCCAACCGAAGCAGCCAATAAGGAGGAGCCGGCATCATCACCAGAAGCAGATGGGTCTACATCTTCACCCTCATACCTAGAGCTCAAAGTCTCGGAGCAAAAAGTCCCCTTCCCAACCTGGGATCCCGACCACCCTTTTCAAAATGAAACAGAATACTCCTGCCTCGCCTGCCCTGTGCGAGCCAGTTTAAATCCAGGGGACATGTTATATCTTCCCGCGTTATGGTACCACAAGGTAGCCCAGAGCGTCGACAACGAGGGGGTTTGTGTAGCAGTCAACTACTGGTACGACATGGACTTTACCGGGCCCCTCTACCCCCTAAGCACATTTGTTCGTTCAGTCTACAAAAAAGAGTTGAGGGGAGAAGAGGAGGAAAAGGAGGAGGAAAAGGAGGAGGAGAAGGAGGAGGAAGAGGCAGTGAATGAGCAAGACCTGGTTGATAATGCTGAGCAGCACCAACGCTTGACATAAATCACAAAAAAAATTGTAAAAAATCACATGCAAATGACTTCAACATATGCCTGATATATCCCAGGTATAAACATTTTCCCAACCATTAAACCCCCTATTTCTTCTTCTTCGCCACCCTCTTCAGCGCCCTCATCTCCTTCTTCATCCTAGGATCAACCATCTTATACCTCCCCTTCACCCCCTTCGGCCTCCCCTGCAACCCTCTGTTTGCACCCGCAGCCTTCACCACCTTAACCGGCGCCTTCCTCTTCTTCTTGTTCGCCTGCGCAATCAGCTTCGAGATGCTGCTCGCCTTCTCCTTCTCATTCAACCCCTCATCGCCCATCAGCATATCCGCCTTCTTCTTCAGCTTCTCTAGCTTCTGCGCCTGCTTAAACTTCTTCCTCGCCCTAGCCTCAGCCACCTTCTTGATCGGTCTGGCATTGTACGCCCTCAGCTTCTCCTTGATCGCCTGCGCGGCTTCTTTGGTGATGGGCTTGTGCGGCTTGTCATGCTTCTTCTCGTCGTCGAGGAACCAGTCTGGGAGGCCGTCGCGGTCTTTGAGGGCGTATTTGTTGTAGCCGTCGTCGATGACGTCGTGGACCGTCTTTTCGCCGCGGGCGAGCTGGTGGGCGAGCGTCATGGCTTCTGCTGTGACGATGTCGATGTCTGTAATTCTCATCAGTATATTGTCAAGACGGGAGTGAAAAGAAAACATACCAGGCTTGGCATCCTTCTTCTTCTTCTTCTCCACCGCCTCCCAGTCAGAATCCGAATCCTGCTCCTCCGCCATTGGCCGCTTGACAATCTCAAACGTATTATCCTTCTCCTTCTTCGCAGCCGCAGCCGCCTCCTTGCGCATCTTCTTTTGCTGCTCGATGCTTGGAATATCGTCATCCGATGACTCAGCGGCCTCCTCATCTTGCAGCACTTGCACCTCCTCCTCTTCTCCATCCCCTTCCTCCTCCATCTCACCCAAAATGTCCGCAAAAACCTCATTTTCGAAGAACCGGTTCGCACGTTTCGAAAGCCCTTCCTTCCCCTTGCCCTTCCCATCAAGATCGCTTATCAGCGGCTTCTCATCAACATCCATCTCATCCTCATCCTCCGAATCTGACCCGCTCTCCATCTCCAAATCGCTCTCATCATCACTGTTCCCCTTCTCGTCAGCCGAGACACCCTCCCACTCCTCATCGTCGTGCTCTTTCCTCGCCTTCTTGGCCCGGTATTTCGCATCAGCCGCCGACTTGCGCTCTTGATACTGATCATAAAGACCGTCCAGTTCCCTCTCCAACCTATCACCATCCTCGTCGCTCTCATCGTCCGTATCCCCCGAGGAGCCGATTCCAGAGTCGAATCCTCTCCTCTTCTGCTCGGCCTCCTTGATAACCACCATCTTGCCCTTGGCAATCTTGCGCAGCGCACCGTTTTCGTCAACGGCCTTGAGCTTAAAGATTTCGCCCTCACCTCTTGGACCCTCCTGCTCCATGCCGATATCCATAGGCGCCGTCATGTGCATTTGCATGCGCATAATCTCCTTGGTCTTGGCCTCATTGGCGCTTCTCCTTTCCCTCTTCTTCTTGCCCTTCTCCTTGTCGGCGATTCTCTGGAGCTCCTCCTGGATTCTCATCTCCTCGTCCATCGGTTCCACCTCGGCCACTTCGTCGGCCAAGCTGGCCTTTGCTGATTTCTTGGTGGGGAAACCAAAGATCTCCCGGACCTTCAAACGCCATTTCAAGAGGAGCTTGAATTCTTTTCTCCCGAGAACTTTCAAATCGGCGCAGCATGTGCGGATTTCTTCGGTGGTCTCGGGGAGTTTGTCCAAAGCCGCCAGGGCCACATCGCCGTTTGTCGCTTGCTTGAAGGTCAAGGCGTTGTATTGACCAAGAATGGCGATCGGATCGGTAGTCTGGATGAACTCGCTCGCGGCAATCTCCTTGTACTGGGTGTAATCACCCTCCTCGTAACCATCTCTCTTCCTCTTTTTGATCTCGGGGTTGTAGACCTTGGCCTCGTTGTTGGGAGCCGCATCGGCGACATCTTCGAAGACGGTGCGGGGGTCGAGCAAGCGGGGATCGAGCTTCTTGGGCGCCTTGTAACCCAAGCAAACAACGAAAATTTCGGCCGAGACGTTACGCGAGGAAGGGGGCTTGGTGGCTTCGACCTTGGTGAACAGCTGCTTGAGAACCCAGAGGAGAGAGTTGTAATCTTTCGATCGGAAAACTTTGGTGACAAAGGCGCCGCCCTCGATCAAGAATTCGGTGGCGAGCTTCAGAGAGTGAAGCGCAAGCTCGGCTTGGTTGAACGAATCCTGCACCCAGGCGGTACCGACGTTGGGCGCACCGTCGTGGAGGACACAGTCGGCTTTCCAGGTCTTCAAGTGGGTTCGGATCGTGGCGCGGCACTTTTCGGTGGTAATGTCGCTCTGGAAGGTGATGACCTTGGGGATGGGCTTGATGGGAGAAAGATCGACACCGATGATGATGCTGTCTTTGGGCATAGTCTCTGCAGCTACTTGACACCACGACTATCTCATCGTCAGCGCATACCAAAGAGGGCCTGACGTCAAAAAAAAACATACACCGGGCGCGGCGCAAAGATCGAGCACGACCTTGCTCTTCTCGAGGAAGCCATATTTCTTGTTGAGCTGGATGAGCTTGAAAGCAGCACGAGCTCTGTAACCCTTCTCCTTGGCGAGCTTGTACCACTTGTCCAAACGGCCTTTGCCGTGCTTCTTCTGGATCGCCATGACTTCGTGATGATTCCCGGGTTGGCGACAGCGACGACGAGGGGACCCACGGGGATTTTGGAGTCGTGGTTGTGTCGCTGCAAGGCTTGGGAAATTTTTTGGAGGAGACTGCAGCCCGATAAGCGATAAGCGAAAGCCACTTGTTTCCTTGACGTTGGGGCCCCGCTCTGCTGCACAGCTGCAGGCACTTCAGTGGCTGGGTGGGGCCCTCTTTACGCGCAATTGGCACGCGTGATTGGCCTGTCGCGATGGCTGGAGGTCGCTGGAGCTCAGCACTGACGTCTGATAGGACTCTTTTATACGCACGACCGGCGCGTCCAGCCTGAGAGCACATGGAAGCGTGTACCGCGTCTTGCAGGCAAGTGCCCGCCAGAAAGAAGACGCAAAATGTTGGCAGCCCCCGCTCGCCTACTCTTCTGACATCAGCAAACCTCGGATGAACTCTCTTCGACACAATGGTTCCATTTTCTGCTTTGTGAAAGATTATCTCCTGTCTCTTGTCTCTTGTCTCTTGTCTCTTGTCTCTTGAGACTGTGCCATTACCGTCCCGGTCCTCCCTTCGAGCCACGTTCCCAGACATATCTCTCTGTATATCAGTTCAGTTCAGCCGCCCCCACCTATTACCGCCATTTTGTCGACGACAGGCCATCGACCAGCCCACAATGACAGACTCAACCCCTTCTACTCGAGCAGCAAAGGCTTCGGAGTCCACAGAGAACAATGACCCCTTGTTGTCTTCACCACCGAGATCCACCATTGGCAAGGAGCGAAGAGTGCCATCAATTACCCCGAGAAAGTTTCAAAGATTCTTCACCCCCCGATCACGGGTCTCTTCGAAACCCAGTGCCGTTCGAAAGGCCCTCCATGATCTCACTGCTCCCGCCCTTAACCGCGACCAGGCCCCTGCTTCAAGCCCGCTCAAACCCATCTCGGAGGAACAACTCGGGGCTCCCATTGAGGATGAATTGCCTGACTATAGGACCGCCAAGCGAAGAAAAACTCAACACACCCCGAGCAGGTCGCATCTTCCCTCACCCCTGCCAACATCTCCAGGTCTTCTTGCAACTCCTGATATCAGGCCAGGTCTGAGCAGCCCGATTCGCCATGTCAAGTTCCGACCGAATCGACGGATGGATGTTGATCACCATGATGGAGTATCAGAGGATGAGGACGATGAGCCCCCATTGCCATCGCCAAAGTTGAAGAGGATTGTACCATTACATACCCGGGGGTTGGGTGGTCAATTGGTCCAAAGAATGTCAGGCGATGCCTGTTTGGGTCGTCCGGTTCCTGGTAGGCATAACCTCATGATACCGCCTGGTATATTCCTGCTAACATGTATCCTAGACTGGAGGACTGATACTGCCAAATTTTATAGCAAACCGGAGGACGTTCACCTTTCATCAAGTCACGAAGGGGCGCGTCGTGCCATTCCTTTTTGTACCACTAGCTCTCACAGTATGTTGATATCCTGGCACAACACATCAGTCCAATAGCTAACGCCCCACAGAAAGTGATCTTGTAGCAGTCGGTGATGAAGAAGGCTATATACGCCTCCTTGATGCAAGCAAGGAGTTCTCCAAGATTCACCTGTCTTTCCAAGCTCACGGAAATGCTGTGATCGATTTGGCTTTCTCCGGGGACGACAAACTGCTTGCTACTGCCTCGGGTGACCAGACTGGAAGAGTCATTGACGTGGAAACACAGACCCCTCTCAACGTTTTAGGCCATCACACTGCCTCGTTGAAGCAGGTCCGCTTTCAACCAGGCCGGGGACAGGACTGTGTCCTTGCCACCTCTGGCCGTGATGGAAGTATCCAAATCTGGGACCTGCGGTGCAAAGGTGGACCGGTTCAGGACATGTCGATCATTAACGAAGACCGCCTGCGTCATGGTGCCCCCAAGCCCGTCAACCCTGGCTGCGTGGTAAACAGCATCTATTACGCCCACGCCCGCACCCAGCGGCAAACCAAGTCGGCCAAGAACTCCTCCACCACCGACGTAGCCCGCACGGGTGAGGTGCCCGGCCGTATGGGCGAAGTCTCGGTAACCTCGTTACAATTCCTCCCCCCTGGCCGCGAGCACCTGCTGCTCTCTGCCTGTGAGGCCGATGCCTCGATCAAGCTGTGGGATATCCGCGCCGTCCACACCCATCGCCACCACAAGACTTCCACCCCGATCTCGTTCACTTCCCCCCCACCAAGCCACGCAGCCTGGAGACCATTCGGCATCGCCAGCATGACGATGAACACGTCCGGCTCGAGAATCTATGCCCTCTGCAAAGACAACACTGTTTACACCTACGCCACGTCCCACCTCATCCTCGGCATCGCAAATGAACTCAAGGCCACCCTCCCCGGGCAGGAACCCGAAAGACGGAGACACTACCCCCATGTAGCACATGAGGGCCTGGGTCCGCTGTATGGTTTCCGCCATCCCTTGTTCCACGCCACGTCGTTTTATGTCAAGGCTGCTCTCCGGCCTGCCGCGAACGGAAACAGTGAGATGCTTGCTGTGGGCAGTAGTGATGGTTGCGCGGTTTTGTTTCCTACTGATGAGAGGTACCTCTCCTTTTCCACCCCGGGCAGCGAGGAGGAATCCTACTTTGTCGGGGAAAGCACCGCTCTTTTACCGACTGCGACGCCTTCTAGGCCGGGGTTGAGGTCGGGCGGTCCGCCTGGCTTGGTGAGAACGAACAGCAGCTCTTTGTTTGGTCGTCAGCAGCACGACATGGGTGTTGCTGTCACCAAGAGGGGAACTCCGTTGGTGAGGGGTCATGATAAGGAGGTTGGGGCGCTGACTTGGACGGCTGATGGGAGGAAGCTGGTGACGGTGGGGGATGATTACCTTGTGAGGTGCTGGAGGGATGGCGACGAGGAGGCGAAGGATTTGAGGAGGGGGGGTGAGTGGCCTCCAGGCTGGCGCCAAGTGGACCCGGGCACCTTCCCTGTGGGATCTCCGGTGCGGGAGGGGTGACGCCTTCATGTGCGCTCAAAAATGGGGGGAGATGCTCTCGATCGCGGGCCCGATCTCCGAGGTACTCGAGCTGCGGGTCGGCATACATGTATATACTTCTTGACAGGCCTTTCGCTCCTGACACCAGTGCGAGTGGCTTGCACCATCCTCTTTCTCCGATAGGGGAGCACCGAGTCGTGCTATTTGTTAGAAACGAATCAGACAGACAGTGCCGACGCCGAATCATGTGACGCCCTTCTCGGCAATGTGGCAAGAGGACACTG